CACAGCAGGTCTCCTGTACTCAGCAATATGGTAGGTGCATTATCCTATGGATACCTACATTTAACTGGGTAATGAAAAAAACCCCTGATGACTGAACCAAAATAAACATACGGCAAATTCTAATTTAGATGAAAATAAGGTAATACAATTATCTATTGTAGACTATTTTGAGGCTGCTCAGGAGGAAAAGGGAGGAGAGACAGATTTCTGAAATATTTCTGCAGAAACATTTGTACAAGTAGGTGGTTGTTTACTCAACTGTACAAGTTCTGTGGCCATACACTTCACCCTATTACTATATATTGAAGTTGAGGAACTGCAGCACATCTGAAAAGCACCAGACAGTTCAGTGTTTCGCATATAAACTTATATCCCGACTGCCCTTCTCACTGAACTTGAAACAGAACTATTAAAAGACTTGACTTTTCCACTACATTAGACTTAGTGAAGTTTTGGTGTCATATCCACAATCGTAGGATACATAGTATTTAACATTTTGTGATGAGTTTAATAGGATATTTTAAGAAGTTTTCCACAATTAATTATTTAGCAAATAAAAAATACCTTTTGGACAGATGGAAAGGAGGAGGATAAAAAGAGCAATTCTGTGGCTGCAACAAATACGTTTAACAAAAATTAAGGAGAAAATGGCATTTCTGACTTAAGAAAATTTAAGGTTGTTAATGTGAGATTCAAACTAGAATTGCTAGTTCTAGACTATGTAAACAAAGATCACCAACTTAAGGAATAAGGACGTTCCAGCTAACTACTTTGGTTTGAGAAGCCTGAACACACCGTGCATATGTCAAGGAAAAATGGCCTTCCCCTATTCCAGTTTGTTGATTTTAAGAGTTAATTTTGCTGTAAGAACACTGCTGTTCCTCCCAGGGAAAAACAGTTCTACTAAAACTTAACCATTGTTACAGTGTAGGGAGAACTAATACTGTCTAAATGTAGTCACTGAGTTTGGGCTTCATTAATAAATCATGGAGAAAAGTACCCAACTGAGGAACCCTGGCCTGCTTATGGAAGGAGTGTGCAACTGCTCGTCTAGGGAGAGGGTGCACCCATCTTAATCACATAAATCAGATGTCTGAAATGAGACACGGGAACACCAAATCACAGAGCCCGGAAGGAGTCTTGGGAGGTCACTAGCTCACCTCCTGCTCAAAGCAGGGTCAAAACTGACCTTGGACCAGGCTGCTTAGGGCTTTGTCCCAGCGGGTCTTGAACACCTCTGAGGACAGAGATTTCACAGTTCTCTGGGCAACACTCCGTCTCCCTAGTTAGAAATCAATATCCTATAAAACAGAAAATACTGTTTTTATTAACAAAAAGCTCTTTTGGTCATGAGCAGTCATATAACTCACGTTAATTACTGCCCTAATTTCTGCATGTTCCATTTCAGCAGTATTTTGCTGTAGTCCTGATGGTTTCAGGGCATAAATGTAACAAAGTTTCTACGCAGAAGGGTCATCTTTTATTAAATGTACCTGTTTTTCTAGAAAATTAAGACAAGCTTCTGGATGGACTGCATACCAATATACCACTGACTCAATAGAAAGACTGTTTTTATGGCACATAACTTTCATGTAGTTTCCTACAGGGTTTCACCTCCCTCCTCCTTTCTCCTAGATGATGAGTATTTTCATAATACTCTTT